TCTTCTGGGGTATTAGCTACTCCTCCTAATTTGGCCTGTGTTACTGATAATTTTTCATTAGTATGATTCCTTAGAAATGAGTGCAGAAGGGAATGTACTTCTGGTAGCAGAAACAAACACATACCCTACCCATGCTTTTCTATTCTGTATATATTGTTAATTGTGTAACTTAAAATTGTTTCAGTGAAATATTTGGAGCAATAGTCATACATGAACACAACTGTTGTGCTGTATGTGTGCATTCAAAAGCAACAGTTGTCTCTGTTCAGTGGGACATACCTCTAGGAAATTACTCCCAGTGACATGTAAAAGAGAGCCAGCATGGTGTAGTTGTTTGAACATTCGACTGTGACTCTAGAGACCAGGATTCAAATCCCTGTTCAGTCACAGAAACCCACTGTGTGACCTTGAGCAAGTCATATCCTCTCAGCCTCATAGGAAGGCACAGGCAAAACCCCTCTGAACAAGACCTTGCCAAGAAAGCCTTAAGTTCACCTTAGGGTCACTACAAGTAAGAAACTACTTACATGCATCCCTTCTGCCTGGCTGCTTTGTCCTATCCCGTCAGGGATTACATTATGAAAGTGATGAAGACATGAGGCATGATATTGTGTAGCCGTTTGATTTGGTGACAGTGTCATTTTAGGTAAATTAAAAGAATTCAGAAGGAAAGTTTTGTGTAAGTTTCATTATAGATTGGAATGGGCATGCAATCATGTTTAAATGCATAGAAAGAGGAACAGAGATGCAGGGCTGGGGAGTAGGAGTAGGGTGTAGAGTATGAGGTTTTTGCAGGAGTAGAAGTAGGAGTAAAATTAAGAAAAAATATCTTACTCTGGAGTAGGACAAGGAGTAACCCCAAAATCACCACTACTCCCCAGCCTTGCAGAGATGTCATTGTGACCATTACCTGAATAGAGAACCAGAGAACAGACACTTTGCTGAATCTGCACTCATGGTTTTCATTGCTTGTAAGAGAAATCAGTTTGTGTGCATGTGTGTTTGCAGCAGTGTTCATAGATTATGAGTCACAAATTTGGCCACATCTCTGTGATGGTATTCAACATGGATACACCATTGTGTTTATTTTAAAGCTGGTTTTCTAATTAGTTTCAAAGTCTGATCGAATGTGGATGTTGTGTGACTAGCATCCATGGCTAACTGGCTGGCACAATTAACTCAACTGGCACAGCCTTTTCCATTTTTGTTGCACGCAGATATCCAAACAGTCTTTAGCTTTGAAGACCCACCTGGAAGACAGACAGTGAGAAAAATGGAGCCCTCCCTCCATTACCATCTGATGTCATTTGAGGGAGAGACACTAGGCTGAGCACCATCGGGCCTAAAATAATAAGAAGAGCCCTCCCTCCATTACCATCCGATGTCATCTGGGGGAGAGACACTAAGCCCAGCACCACCCAGCCTAGAATAAGAAGAACCCTTACTTCTTAAAGGATGGGTGGGATTCGGGATTTTATGTTTTGTTTAATGGAAATTGTAATGTTGTAAGCCGCCCCGATTGCTCTGCAGAGGGGCGGGCTATAAATAAAAATTATTATTATTATTATTATTATTATTATTATTATTATTATTATTATTAAATAAGGATGTTTGCGGGGTAGCAGTTGTCTCTTTGGGTGGCAACAGAAAAGGCTTTCTCTGCCTTTCTACCTCACCTACTGAAGAACCATGAAAAAGTACACTACGCTGGCATAGCAGGATTTCAGACAGAATTTAAGCTCCCCCGACCCTCATTAGTAGACATCATCATAGTCCTGTTAAAATATTGAATGGAATTCTTCCAGGAATACTCTCTGGTTCCATACATTTTTGCTGTATATTATGTCTGCATCATCTTGGAATGCAAAGACATACAACTCAGTACAAAAGTCAGAATCATATAAGCCATCATATTCCCTATTACCATGTATGGATGTAAGAGCTGGACAGTCAAGAAAGAAGATAGGAGGAAAACCAAAACATTTGAGATAATGTGGCACTGGAGAAGAGTGCTGAGGATCCCATGGACAGCCAAAAGGACAAACAAATGGGTTCTAGAGCAGATCAAGCCAGAGATATCCCTAGAAGCCAAGATGACAGGACTTAGACTGTCATACTTTGGACACATCATGAGAAGGAATGAATCATTGGAAAAGACAAGAATGTTAGGAAAGGTGGAGGGAAGTAGAAAGAGAGGAAGGTCACATGCTAGATGGATGTACTTTATTAAAGATACCATGAATAAAAGTTTGCAGGAGCTGGTCAGAGCAGTAGAGGACCCGGGGGGGGGGGCTGGAGATGTCTCATCCATAGGGTTGCCATGGGTCGAGACTGATGTGAAGGCAATTAACAACAACAACAACAAAATCATCTTGTAACACTGGATTTCATTACTGCTATACCTCAGCTAGCAAAGTACATGTGTTCTTGGGCATGACATCTTTAACAGAAAATTTGGTACCAGAGGTAGAAATAACGTGTCAAAAATAGGAATAAGTTTGTACACCACAGAAAAGAAGAGCATGTCAACATGTTTCAACAAACCTTTTATTCAAAACTAACAGGTGAAATGAAACAACCAGGTAAAGTAAACTTCACATAATAAGCAAAAATATTTTAAACCTTCTAGAAACACTTGAGGACTTCTTCCACAATACATCCAGGGATTCTTTTTTTTTTTTTTTTTTCATAATCCTCCACTTTTCTTGTGATTTTCATTTTGATGCCCAGCTTACAGATGTATGCTTTTTAAATATGCTGATGGTAGGTGATGAGACAGGCTTATCTTCTCTTCCCTTTTCTCTCTGTTGTGCTCTTCACATATGCTTGGTAAGGGATTTTGGAGGTAGCTGCTGTTTCTCTTGCCTTTTGCAGACAGGCATGCGAAGCTGAAGTAGGTTTGGCTAAATCAGAATCCCATTCTTTATATGATCAAGATTTATTGTTTTGTTTATTGCATACATGGGATTGTAACTCAATGCTGAAAGTCAATATTTCTCCAGTTATTCATCACCAATTCTGCTAAAAAGCTTTAGCAGGACAGAGGATGGGGATGAAAGCAGGATTGGATGGCCATTAAAACACTTTGTAAAAAGAGATATCTTTGTCAGATGCTTTGCTAGCTGAGTTCTTCCTATATAGTCTAATTTTATGCATTGCCATGGCAGGGAATAAGACACTGAAATAATGTTTAAAACTGGTATTAAAATGTTGACATGTGTTCTGACCATTCGCTCTGGATAAGAGTTTTGTATAAACTCAGGCATTGTGGATATGATTTTTTTCCCTCCCCTAATAAAGCTTTGCCTCACTTTCTTACTGATTCCTCTTCTGTGGGATTGATGTATCACACATAGCTAGTATAAGCACAGGCTTTTACTCTGTTTTGTGTGTCAGACCAATGAGGCCTAAGCTGGAAATACCATAGTATCACAGTGTTAGGGTCACATGCCCTCTGATTTTTTGCAGTTTCCTCTATGTCAGATGACTTGATCTCTTTCCAAGAAGCTGTTCAGTTTCATGAAAGATTTGCAATATGAATAATATGTTCTGGTTTTAGAAGCTTAACTCGGGGACATTTTAGTTCCATTGTTACAGGGTAGCATCTTTATCTGTTTCTTTAAAATCCTGTTATAATAACTTGCTCTCTTTTTCTCTGAGAAATCCAGCTTTGATTGTTCTCAGTAGTTTTTAAAGATGAGTAATAAAAGAAAGTGTGGGATGCATTAGAATGAAGGATGTGTTACCATCTTAAGATACCTAGTAGGAAGGTGGCACTGCTCTGAACATCAGGTGTGTTTTCCATATATCTGACCTGCTTGAGGCATTGTGATTCTTCTACTGATAATTATTATTGACCTATTATGGTGTATAAGCCAATTTACCTCAGATTGCACTAGATACAAAAATTGACTGCAGCAGCATGATAGCATGGTAAGATCTTTTCTGAGAGACAGATCCTCTCTGACATAATGAATTAGATTCAACTTTCTGTCCTCCAGTGGAATCAGTCCCTAAGTAGAGTTTTTCTTAGGATACACATCCCAGGAAGGAAGTAGGTTTTCAGCAGTTCAGCACTATGACTAGGATAGCATAGCCCAAAGGCTCCCCCAACCTCTGGAGAGATTTATGGTGGTCTTAAGGGACTGCAAGTGTAGGACAATTGGCACCCCCCCCTCCAATGGATAGAAGGAGGTGCCTTCATGGACATGGGAGGATTATGTGGGGACTAGCACAGTAGTATGAATTCCCACATGTCCAGCCAAATCCTATTTAAGAGTTGCAGTATTGTCTCAGATTGTCGGTATGCTGCAATTAAGCAGCAATGATTTACAGTGCATTGATAGTGCAGCTATTGTAGTACGGTTGTTAATCATGAGGTTAGAAATGAACAGATGAATGTTGCCTTGACTTGTTCAGGGAAAAGATATGAAAATCATAGAAACATAGAGTTGGAAGAGACTACAAGGGCCATCCAGTCCAACCCCCTGTCATGCAGGAACTCAAAATCAAAGCATCCCCAACAGATGGCCATCCAACATCTGTTTAAAAGCCTCCAAAGGAGGAGACTCCACCACACTCCAAGGGAGTGTGTTCCACTGTTGAACAGCTCCTCCTTTGGAGGTTTTTAAACAGAGGCTAATGGCCATCTGTTGGGGGTTCTTTGATAGGGTTGGACTGGATGGCCCTTGTGGTCTCTTCCAACTCTACGATTCTATGATACTCACATCTTATATGAAATACAATAAGTACATATATGGCAACCCATTAATTTCATGATACAGAATCTTGCTGGACAGTGTAGATATGTTCGATTCTCCACTCCTCTTTTGCATCAGTACAATTTTGGATTCTTGTCGTTACTTCTGTACTGGTTTAATATTATTGTGCCGTTGGCTAGATGACTATGATTTTCAAGCAAAATTATCTTCTATAAAACCTTCCAGAGAAGATGGATAATTCAGATAATGTCAAGAAATGGTGGCTAAGTATAGCTAGAAACTGGTCTTGGTGTTGTTTGTGCTTGTCATGTCATCCTGTGCTTGTGTCAACCTCAGAAGTGTGAATTTAGATATCCTGTGCATGAATAGTAAGACAAAACTTTCATAGTCTTGGTAGATTTCATTTAATTTGTGCAATGTTCTGAACACTAAAGATATCTTGTATTTTCCTGTGGGCATGCACACAATGGCCATCTTGGGTTTCTTGATCAGTTAAAGGGTTTTGTTTTCATGTAGGTGTATATAATTCAAGTGAGTGTTGGGAGCCATCACTGGATAGTCAAACATCGATACAGTGACTTCCATGACCTGCACGAAAAGGTAAATATCCTAAATTAACATCTTAAAACTTTGGCTGAATGGTAATTATTTTGATAGTTCTGTTAT